GAAATCCCTAAGAAGTCCTTAGGTGCTCTAAAAAATATTATTCTGCCTTGTCCCTTTGCCATGCCCAGCTCCATATCACTGCTCCAGGGTCTCTTTATAAGTCTTCATTCTGGTAGTTCTTTTTAGTCTGCTTTCCCCACAGATCTGGCAAGAGTCCCTTCTTTTCTAAGTACCCTAATGCACTAGCAAGCTCTTTTTTTGTTTAAAGGACTTCCAAAGAATAGGCCATTTTGGAGAGGAACTTGAATCCCAATCAAGAGAATGAAAACTTGGTATAAGATATGGAGGCTGAGAGTCCAATGGTCTCTTCACAGGGGATTCACTTCTCAACCTCCAGCAACACAAAACATTGCTGCAGTTGACACTGTTCTCCTGGATCAGGATTTCATCACCGGTGCCCTTTTACTCTAAATTCAAGATGCACACACCCATGGCACAGTTCCGGCCAGGAAAAACAAAACTTCAGTAGTCACATGCTCAGGAACACATCACTCTAAACTCCCCTTTTCTCTCCTGCATCCATATTTTTTCTTTCCCTCTTGTATCATTCCCCTCAATAAATAAATGACTGTATTGTCCATACCTTAAGACAAATAGAAAATGCTCCCTATATACTAGATTGTCCCACAGATACCTCTCCATTGTTTGGTACCATTTACATAAACCTTGAAGTTTCCTTCTCCGTGCTGTCACACATTTTTCTAGTTCCTCCTCCTCTTTTCCTCTTCTGTCTTGAATTTACTCTATTCAGTCTTTGGACCTCTCTAACCTACAGCCCCTGTCAAAGGACATCAGTGAATTCCATTGTTTGGAAGCTCATCTTACTGGACCCCTCAGGAGCATCTGGCACTCTAACATTCTCTTGAAACATTTGCTTTTCTGGATTTTGAGCCATTGTACCCTATGCCCTCTGGATTTTCCTCTTCTCTTTCTGGCAGCTCCTTTTTCCTCTATGGTTCCTGGACCTTAAATAACAGAACATTCCTGAACTCCTCTAGTGAATGTCTTCCCTACCCATACTCATTCCATAAATGATTTCCTACTCCAAGGCTCCCAAAAACATATGCCAATAGAACCCAAACTTACATCTCTGCCTATTCAAAGAAATGTCTGTCAAGAAAATCAAGTTAATATTTGCCAAAATTTCTGATAGATTCTTTTTTTAAATTTTCTTTTTTTATTGTTAATTGTTCAAAACATTACAAAGCTCTTGACATATCATATTTCGTACATTTGATTCAAGTGGGTTAGGAACTCCCATTTTTCCCCCGTATACAGATTGCAGAATCACATCGGTTACACATCCACGTTTTTACATACTGCCATACTAGTGTCTGTTGTATTCTGCTGCCTTTCCTATCCTCTACTATCCCCCCCCCCCTCCCCTCCCTTCCCATCTTCTCTCTCTACCCCATCTACTGTAATTCATTTCTCCTCCTTGTTTTTTTCCCCTTTCCCCTCACTTCCTCTTATATGTAATTTTGTATAACAATGAGGGTCTCCTTCCATTTCCATGCAATTTCCCTTCTCTCTCCCTTTCCCTCCCACCTCTCATCCCTGTTTAATGTTAATCTTTTTCTCATGCTCTTCCTCCCTGCTCTGTTCTTAGTTGCTCTCATTATATCAAAGAAGACATTTGACATTTGCTTTTTAGGGATTGGCTAGCTTCACTTAGCATAATCTGTTCTAATGCCATCCATTTCCCTGCAAATTCCATGATTTTGTCATTTTTTAGTGCTGAGTAATAGTCCATTGTGTATAAATGCCACATTTTTTTTATCCATTCATCTATTGAAGGGCATCTAGGTTGGTTCCACAGTCTAGCCATTGTGAATTGTGCTGCTATGAACATCGATGTAGCAGTATCCCTATAGTACTCTGTTTTAAGGTCTTCAGGGAATAGTCTGAGAAGGGGAATAGCTGGGTCAAATGGTGATTCCATTCCCAGCTTTCCCAGGAATCTCCATACTGCTTTCCAAATTGGCCGCACCAATTTGCAGTCCTACCAGCAATGTACAAGTGTACCCTTTTCCCCACATCCTCGCCAGCACTTGTTGTTGTTTGACTTCATAATGGCTGCCAATCTTACTGGAATGAGATGGTATCTTAAGGTGGTTTTGATTTGCATTTCTCTGACTGCTAGAGATGGTGAGCATTTTTTCTGATAGATTCTTAAGCTCACTTTTTTTTTCTCAATTTGACAATTTCTCAGTTCTTTAAAACAATTTTACTGTTTTTTTTTTTTTTGGTGCTGGGGATTGAACCCAGGGCCTTGTGCATGCAAGGCAAGCACTCTACCAAATAAACTCTATCCCCAGCCCCAATTTCATTTAGTTTTGTAGAATTGTCTTTAATTTTTATTTGGATTTTGGAAGCCTATGTTTATATAATAGAATTTTGGAACTGAAAAGAATAGAGATTAACTAGTTTAATAATCTTGATTTATAAATAAGAGAGTTAAAACTTAAGGAATTGAAGCCCAAGGGCATTTAGAAAGAAGTAATGATCTTTTTTTAAAAAAAAAAAATTGAATGAATTATTTAAATCCCCATAGATCATAAAGTATTTGACTAATTAAAAGATATTTCACAACAAAATTAAAAATAAGAATTTAAAAAACAAGATAAAGAGAAAAATCTGTTAAAACACAAAATTTGGGCTACAGTAAAAGATATAATTAATTCATCTTTAAATTTTGGTGTGCGAGTAAATGTATTTATTGGCGAAAGGGCCACTTGAGTCATTCTCAGAGCAATGGAGAGTCTCAAACTCAGGCCCAAACTCAGACAGAGGTACACTAGCTTCTCCGCTATGGGCTGATATATTAATTTATTTTAAAAAGCAATTACTGTAATCTGCCACATAAAATACTGCCAAACACATGTTGAAGTTTTTTACATGTCTGCAATAAGCTGGAGCTAGTTGGCATTTCTAAGTAAAAATACATTTTTAAAATTTGTTCGTTAGGCACTGCTCCTGAATAATAGTTTATTTGAGATGATTAATCATTTGAGACCTGCCTGTAGACATAGGGCACCACATTATAAATCACATCTTATTTTCATTCATAGGGAATGAAACAATATTCATTTTTTGGACATGATTTATCATTTGCAGGTTGTGTCTGCTATCGTTATGGGCTAGGAAAATGGATGGGTCATCTTATTAAAAATTTGAAAAACCTGAGCAGAAACCACTCTGTATCTTAATATTAAGATGTGTTGAATTACTGGCTGGAAAGAAAGGTTACAGATGAGTTCCTCTGTTATAAGCTAAGTGAAAGACATGCTAGCACCTGGACTGTGAAACCATTTCACGCAGGCATTCTTCGAACTGTTATTTTTTAAAGATACTGACAATTTATACATACTGTGTCTTCTTTCAGAAGCATGGGGAGTAATGCAGGTGTCAGGCCTTGAGATAAGAGTTCCTTTTTCTTTTGA